AGYGATGGTTTTAAACTAAAAGAGGGACGATTTAGCCAAATATGGGGAAGAAAATGGTTATGGCAAGGGTAGTGAAATCTTGGCACAGGTTGCCCAGAGAAGCTGTGGCTGCCACGTCCCTGGAAGTGTTCAAGGCCGGCTTGGATGGGGCTTGGAGCAGCCTGGGCTCGTGGAAGGTTGGGAGGTTGGACTGTGTGACCTTTAAAGGTCCCTTCCAACCCAAACCATTCTAGGACTTCCTGATTTCCCAGTGATGTTCCTCGAAGCTGGATCCAGGGTCCAATAGCCAAATACAAGGATTTACCCAAAGCAGATGTGGGAGYGAAGAGGTGCAGGTTGGAAGCCCTTCCTTGGAAAGGAGGGACATTTCAAAGATGTTCATGGTGAGCAGGTCTCCTCTCTGCAGGCTTTTCTSCTGGGGAATCCACAACAGACACAGTACCAGTGTGTAATCTCAGATTAACTGGTGCCAGTGCCCTGCTCCGTGCCCTCCCTGGCCGTGGTGGTGGCACTGGGCATTAGGGCCATGCCAGGTGCCACCCTGTGTCCCACAGGTGCTGTGCCATGCCACAGGGCGAGGGAGCGGGCTCAKCTCTGGCACATTGTCAGGCAGGGAAGCAGAGCTGGGGGAGGGAACAGTCCATCCTTAAGAGGACATGTCAAGTACAATTAGCGTTATCTGTCTAAATATGTACTGGGAACACAGAATACAAGAGGAGGCCTGGCTGGCTTTAATGGAGACATATGCAAGGTCATATTGCCTCATACAATCCCCCAATCTGATTTGGGGATTACACATTCTAAGTAAATTGGCGTTATTCCTCTTGCATCATTGATAAGCTGCGGCCAAAAGAAGAGGAGTAAAAAAAAAAGAAAACAATTAAAAACTTAAACCCAAGAATTGATCGTGTGCAGGGGTGGGGGAGTGAAGGCAGGAAGGCRGAGAGTTACAGGCAGAGACCTCGGGAAAGAGGGAGAGAACAAAAGAGAGGGAGAGAAAAAACAGCAYGACAGAGTGGTAGAGAAAGCAGTGGAAAGAGCAAAGAAGAAAGGGAGAATGAAGAGAAGAAAATGCTGCAAGAAGGGATGCCAAAAGGACAGRGGGTGCCAGGGTGGGAGAAGCAGCTCAAATCAGGGAGCTGTTACTCCAGTCACACCCTCAGCTTTGTTAGCATCAGGATTTGAGTGGGAAAGGAAAAACCAGGCTCATTATGCACCTTCCTCACCCCAGGGGCTCCATCCTCCTGTCCGTCCATCCATCTGGGATATCTCAGCAACTCCTTCCTGCTCTGGGTCCCAGCCAGCACAGCACATCTATCGGTGACAGTGGCACAGTGTGTGTGACAGGAGGGGCCAAGCACAGGCACAAAGAGTGCCGGGGCCCTGGAGCACAGGGCTGAGCCCTGGCAGCAGCACAGAGTCCCTGAGTGCCTCTGGTTCTGGCCCTAAAGGAGCTCAGGAGGGTCCCAAAGTCACACACACAGACATCTGACCCTAAAGGAGCTCAGGAGGGTCCCAAAGTCACACACACACACATCTGACCCTAAAGAGCTCAGGAGGGTCCCAAAGTCACACACACACACACATCTGACCCTAAAGGAGCTCAGGAGGGTCCCAAAGGGCCAAGTCACAGTCACACACACACGTCAGCACCCACAGACAGCTGGCACCTCTGGGTTCAGCCACGGCTGTGCTGTGCCGTGCCGTGCCGTGCTGTGCTGTGCTGTGTGTGACCTCGGGGCATTTCACTGCCACCCTGGGCAGCTGTGGAGCTGTTTTGGCAGGGCTGCAAAGCAGGGGCTACAGCAGTGCCACACCCTGTGCCTGTGACCACCTCCCAGCTCTGGGACAGGGAAATCCCTGTCTGGCTGCAGAACAGTCCTCCCCAACTGTGAGCTCTCCTCCACCCTGCCTGTGCAGAATAACCCCCTCCAGAAATCTCATGGCACAGCTTTTATGCTCTGTCACATTTTTGGAACATATGGTTTTAAATAATTCAATTTACTTTTCATGTGTTTTGCTGTGACTTTTCTTCCCCTGTCCCTTTCCTCCTTCCTCCTCACTCTGCATTCTCCTGGGTGGAAAATGCACAGATGAGKGGATAATGAGGTTCAGTGGCACGGGGCCCAGTCCTGCCCCCATCATCTTGTGCTCCACAAGGGGTGCAAGGGATGCCTCGTTAGGACACGGGTAAACCTCTGGGAAAAAGGAAATGGGAAGATTGGGAAGGGAAAACTTTGATGTGGAGCAGAAGGCAACTTCAGATGTGAGGGCAGAGTGTGGAGCAGATSAGCACAAGGTCTGTCTGTGGTACCTGGGGCGCAGGATTCAAACCAGTAATAGCTGCTTTCTCTGTGAAATGATTCCCAGCTCTCATTAGGAGCCTCTTGCACGGGGAAGTGCCAGAGCACTCTCCTGTCTCGGGGGATGCGTGGCCCTGTGGGATTCAGCCAGGAGCAGGAAAGCGTTTTGTTCCCTTGTGGAGTCTGAGTGTCCCACGCTGGACCTGCTGGCACCTGGCTTCTTACCCAGCTTTTGTGACTCTTGGCTCTTACTCAGTGTGCCCTGTGTGCTAACTGGATCCTTTCCTTTCCCTCTCCAGAATGAAGTGAATTTAAAAACGAGGCAAGAAACCAGGCCTTGAAATCTCCGAAAGGTAGGAGAGACTTCAGACTGCAATGGGTATGTCACTCCAGCCTCCTGTGTTCTCTTTTCCTCTGGACATCTCTCACACTTTGCTGGCTGTGGCCATGTCTGCACTGCAGCTCCTGGGTTTGAAYTGTTGTGAGTTATAGAGATGGAAACAGAGGAAGGTCCAGGGCAGACATGGCATATGTGTGTCCTAATCCTGTCTGTTCTTTGGACACCAATTGTTCTGGGCACCTGGYATTGTCACTGAGGGTTTTCCTCAGTATCTTCCCTACTGCCTCTATCTTTACAGATAAAAAGTGTGTTGGTGAAAGGGAAGTGCTTTACCTCCATCCATTTGGGCTGGGGGAGATGGATATAAGGTCCTTTCACTGAAYAGGATGCAGTGTCCATCTACTGTGAAGTTTTGCTGAGCTCAGGTCCCATAGTTCAGATGGTGATGTGCATCTTCTCCTCTTGTGGCACATTTTTGTCTATTCAAACTGCAGAAACAACTGGTGATGTGGAGCACCTCTGTGTCTCCAGCAGAATCCAGACTTTCCTGGGTTTTCCCTTTACCTAGACCCTGTCTTAGAAGAAAAGCCTGAACTTCAGAGTCTCCTGCAGTTGGATGGTCACTTAGTCTGTGCTTGGGTAGAGGTTTAGAGCCCAGGGAAAAGGAAGATGATTGTGTGCTTGGTCAGATCCTCGCTGTGCCACCACAGCTGATGGTCACTGGGCAGTCCCTGTCACACGGGGCAGTTCCCACTGTCCCTGGCTCTCGCTCACGGCCCCAGCTCCTTGTGTGTCCTGGAGAGCTCTCGCTCTGTCCC